ATTCAGGGTTCAAATCCAAACCGATCAACGATTAGTCACATCATTTACAAATGTGTATATCTATCTATCATTTTTCCGTATATGACCAAGTTCTTAACCAAAACGTAAAAATAGTGTTAAGGATTCGCAATCAAATACAACAGAGTAGTATACAATGAAAATAAACTTTTAGACCGAAACCACAAAACTACACCTACTCAATATATCAATTATTACAATATATTGAGCTATAATTCAACTTTTCATATAAAGTTAGCTAATTTTGACTAGAATTAGTGGTATAGTAATAGTGGTATGTGTTACTGTCGTCGATGAATCAATATTCATGTTTAAACTCACATATTACAATACATCTTACTAACAAATAATTTTTTTACGCCAATAAATTTTATTCTTCTTGTAGTATATCAATTACACATTTCATAATGTTTTCTTGATTTCAATACAAACTAGATTTTAACCCGCGGTACACCGCGGGGCTATATTTTCTTAAAAAAATCAAAATGTAATTTGTTTGATAGATTATTTTGATTGTTAATTTTAGGATTTCACCCGTGGTATACTATCTTTTATAAATATCAACCCAAACCCGTCCCATCATATTACCCGTCCCGTGAAATTAAACATCATTTAGTTATTTTTCTTTTTAATAATACTTTTATTTAAAAGCTATATAATTCAAGTCAATTTAAAAATTTCTTTTAAATGGTTCCCATAAGATATATATACATATATATTAAATTTGTATAGAGTTGAAATAATATTAATATTACAAACTTTTTATATAATTTAAATATTATAAATATTTTTAAAAATATGCAATATATATTTTTTGTTATTGAATAAGAGGATATTATGTGTAAGAAATGTAGAAAATAAGAGTTTAATATTTTTATTATGGAGTCGCAAGAAAAATCTTTTATTTCTATACATGTTATTCGTTTATTAATAATAAAAGAAAACAAATCCTTTAAATTAGATATTAACTAAAATAAACGCACCATAATTACTTATTAAGTAACAACCAATAAATTTCACCAAAAAATAGGTAACAACCAATAAATTCTAAACGCAGTAATTAAAGAATGAGATATTAAAAAAAAATATCAAATAAGATATAAGAATCTTAAAATAATTGAATATCTAAATAATTTAATTGTTAGTGTCGATTTTAATGCCTTCATTAATGTGGATTTTTTTTTTTACAGAGAAATATTTCCTAAAGATTATCACATTAATGACTCAGAAAATTAAGGAAGATATGAATTTATGATTCTCGAAATCGTGTTGGTAATATCTTTGATTAATATTTTTCAAATTTAAATAATTAATGCCAATGGCATTCATCCGTAAATACATTCCAACTCCAGGATTTATTTGCTAAAAGTCATCCAAAAATGTATATATAGATATATGAACACTATCTAATTGGACTAAATCAAAACCTCTTAAATGGGCTAATTCAAGCCCATCAACTGCCCAATGGGGCTAGGGGTAGCTATATTTCTGGAAGCGAACTCCATGCGAATATGAAGTGCATGGCTAATTTCATTTCTTCTTATAGTAAATCAATATACATTTTCATGATTTTTTTTTCATGAAATTTTAGCCTCTATTGACTATTGCTATGATTTCCTTTAAAAGCTTACCGGGCTAATCAAAAACTCTAATTAAAAAGCCTCTATATCAAAAAAAGCCCATCAATATTACCTCGAACCAAGTGGAATCAAAACGATGTCGTTTGAATAAAATGACGAAAATAACCCTTTGACCGTTCAGGAAAAAGTCTTCCGACATATAAAACCGGAGAAGCGAGAAGACGCGTCGGCTGAGAGGTAAGAGGAAGAGAGACTCTAAAGGGCAAAAAGGGAAAGTGGGCGGGAGGATTCTTCTCTTCTTCTCCGGCGACTCTTATGTCTTCTCTTCCTCTTCGCTCCGGTGAGAAGATGGCAACCCCTTCCATCTCCGACGCCGTTCCTCTTAAGGCACCAGAAGACGCGACCGCGGATTTTTCCCAAACGCAATCGCCGTCACTTGAAGTTGATTCGTTACCAGTTGCTGAATCTTCTTCCGATGATGTTGTTGTTGATGTCTCGGAGATACCGTCTTTATCTCCGTCGGATGATGACTTTTACCACGAGCGAAATAGCGGCGAGGATCGCGATCAGGATCACGGCGAGAATCTTGTTGAGACCGACGTTGCTGCTGTTCCAATCGATGTGTTGAAGCAGAAGATCATTAGACAGGCAAGTGATTTTGAAACTTTGAATCTCTATTGCAATTCAAGTTTCCAAGATTATTTGTGGAATTGATCGTGAAATTTTGGAATTAGTGAAGTTACTATTCATATTCCGGTGTTTGATTCTTTGATCGGTTTTAGGTTATGGCACATTTAGCTTAGGATTTTGGTTTTAGGTTATTGCTGAATCTAGTGTTGTTCTACTTTTTGCAGGTTGAATACTACTTTAGTGACGAGAATTTGCCTACTGACAAATTTCTTCTGAATGCTATGAAGAGAAACAAAAAAGGCTTTGGTGAGTTTTTTTCTTTCACTTGGAAATAGGCATTAGACCCTTTGAGTTTATGAGACCAGCTTTGAGGATTCGCTATTGTTATGAAACTTTCTGATACTTGAAACATGTCTCATTGAAAGTATGAGACTTTGTGACCATTGATATACTATAGTGGGTTCTTTCCTGTTCCAAACCTGTTCTTGCAGAACCATGGAAAGTAGTGTTTAAGTTGGCTAAACTCGAATTGCTAAAAATTTATTACTTGTTGATGGAAATAAAGTAGTTTTATGTTGATGTTACTCCATGACTATCTATAGCCGCTGGAATATGGAACTGTTAAGAACAATTTCAATGGCTTTCTTTTCATTGTGCAGTTCCTATTTCTACCATTGCTACGTTCCACAAAATGAAGAAGCTTACTCGAGATCATGCTTTGATAGTATCAGCCTTAAAGGAGTCATCGTTTCTTGTAAGCTTCTGTACAGTAGTATGAATGGAAGTTATTGGAGTAATCATATAGCTGTAGAAAAGTTAAATCAAATACCTGATGAAACGAAAACAGAGGTTAATTATCTGTTTGGTCAACCTGTAGGTTGTTAGCTCTGATGAGAAGAAGGTGAAGCGGCTGAGTCCTCTTCCTGAGGTTAGGGATCCGAAGGTATCAATTGTCTCAAACATGGCTCTTCTTTTTCTGTCTGACTAATGTGTTTCTTTGCTTCCTTTGAGATATATTCGTTCCTAATTAGTGTGCCATAGATTTTCACTGTTTTGGTAGAAAATTTGCCAGAGGATCATTCAGATGAGAATATTCGGGAGATATTTGGTAAAGCTGGAAGGTAGGCTATGGTGTTATCTATCTTGTTACTCCTTTTCTCCTGTTATGTCCATTTACATACTAAATAACATTTTTCTGCAATTGCAGCATAAAAAGTGTATCCATATGTGATCCAAATGCTGCTGAAGAACCAGAGAAGGGTGCTAAGAAGGAAAAATTCATCAGAACCAGAGTAAGAAACGTTGTGGAGAACTTTCTTATTTGGAATCACAAGCACAAATATTTGTTTATAATTAGCTTCTTTTTCTTTTTGCTATAGTTACATGCCTTTGTGGAGTATGAAACGGTGGAGGCAGCTGAAAAAGCGGTTAGTGTCAAAAAAATCTTAGACTCAGTATATTTTCTCTTTTTTTCAGGAATGTGTGTGGTTAGCAACTCTTACTATTGGTTGCAGGCAGCTACATTGAATAATGAGCAAGACTGGAGAAATGGGTTGCGAGTTAAGCTTCTTGAACAGACAGTAAGTAATATCTGAAGAATCTTTCAACTTAAAAATACATATGGAATCAGATTATAACTTTTATTAATCAATGGATTATTCATCATAGGGAAAGTTTGCACAGAGAAGACCAGCTAGGAGAGAAGTCGATAAAGAAAAGGATAATACAGGCCGAGTTCATGATCAAACTGAAGGAGAGAAGAACAAAAAGACGCGTGAACATCAGCATCACCGTCACCCTCATTCTGATAATACTGCTGATGATGTAAGTTCCATCTTAATACTATAATTATATGATCTCATCTTTGGTGACTTATTGCAAAGCAAGATTTGGGAACAACACTTCGATGTGCCATCATACCAGGATCCAAGCAGCTGTTTATAATTGCGTTAACCATTTTCAGGATGGTGGCAATCATCAGAAGGATAAAAATGGAAACAAAGGCAGAGGTGGAGGACAAGGAAGGCGACAGAATCATCAAGGTGGCAACGGTATTGGTACTTTTCTTAGAGAAAGTCCATTTCTTTCACTTCTTGTAACCAAGGAGGGCAAAAATTCATTTATTAAAACCAATTTTTTTGTAATTTTTGCCACAGGACATGGAACAGCACCAGCAGCTTCATCATCTTCTCATCATAATTATCATCCTGTTGAGGTCTCAAAGCGACCACCTGGCCCGAAAATGCCTGATGGGACGAGGGGGTTCACAATGGGGCGTGGTAAAGCGATTTCTCCTCCTCCTCCCACATCTGCTCAAACCAGTCATGAAGTTTGATCGGTTTCACATCTCCGGTTGTATCATTGTGTGGTTTTGTTTCACATTAAAAAAATGTGAAACTTGTATGTAGTTGTTAGAATTATGATATTGTTGTGGATTTGGGTTTCCTTTTGGCACATTCAAGTCCTCCAAATCTTCACTTTGGTAATTAGTTTTGTGTTGTAAGTTTTGGTGAATGAAAAAAATGATCCATTTGATAAACTTATAATAACACTTCATTTGCATTTTCTTTTGTGTTTATTTGTTTTGTTTTCCTTAAATTTGCTAAATTTTATTGATTCTATTCCAACCAAGGATCTAATGTAAGAAAAATCCATTTCACACATTAATCTTTTATCTATTTTTCATCATACTCGAGACATGACTCTAGTTGAACTAATGCTACTATTTCATCTTTGTCGACGGCCTATAAATGTACTCTGCTTCGTTTCCTCTTCTCCCATTGTCTCTATTGCTTTCATGGAAGCCCTACATAGCATACCAATCTGATTTCATACAATTTTTCTGTTGAATTGAACGTATAACATTGATAATATAATACAACTCCTCCAGTAAAATTCAGGAAATTAATGACCATGAAAAACAATACACAATCCCAGTTCGGTCCAGGAAAATTTAGAGAACGAAAAACATGCTTCTGACTTCTGTTGGTCCTAGTCTTGATTCTTGCATGATTCAAAATATTCTCGTCTCTCTCTAAAGACTCAATATTTTGCACATGAACTTCCTTTTAGCCTCAGTGAGCCTCAACCCCTATTTCATCAGCATAGTCTATTAGTTTATGAGCAAATGAAGCTGCATAAAATTGTATGAAAATAAAATTTATAAGCACAATTGGTGATCGAAATGGGAAAATGCTTCACGATAGGTTTTATAATTAATTTCTTTAATGCAACGCTAGAAACTAAATGTCTACAAATGAAGTTACCAATTAGATCAGCATTGTGGTTGTGGCAGAGTGTATTTATAATTTCCCAATTATATGTACATTTAATTTGAAAGTGATGATCAAAGGTGATACCAAGTGATCCTTGCAGTTTGACTACCGAGCAATGCAGCAGACTTGAAAATTCCAATCAAATGATCACAAAAAAAAAAAATATGTAATGTTATATTCAGTTTCAGCCTCATGAAATCACCAATTGAAACCACACTTTTAGTCGGTGGCAAATATCTATTGAAAAGATTCCTAATGAAGAAGCTCCTCCGATCCTATGCTCTGTGAAACTATAATAACGCTTAAATGTAGTTGTCAAAGTGTTGACTATTTTTTTAAAAGTCAATGTAGTTTTACGCTCAAATTTAATAGTTTGGATAGTTTATTTAAGTTATTTTAGCGTTGAGGTTGAAAATGACTTTGTATCTTTGTTGAGGTATAAAAACGCATTTTGCAATTTGTTCGGGTTGAAATTCACCTTTTTCCCATAAGATGGTTTATTGAGATTTTTGGGTTACCTTAAAACGTCTCTAGCTAGGGAGATATTGGAGATCAGTCGTTGCATGTTCTCCTTTGATCTTGTTGTTCCATTATAACCGGCAAAACAACTCATTGCAAACAAAGATTGAAAGTGACATCATGTGTTTCTCCCAGTCCTAGGTATAGCGGTAGGGCAAGTCATAGGTTTCTTGTCTTCTTGAGTGGTCCTTTACGTGATCTGCAAAACAAAACAAATCGAGTTATCTACATAAAAAATTAAAATACAAACATGTATAAATGAGTAATCCAGTTGCCATTTACAAAAAAATAATTGAGAGATGAATAGTATTATGTTCAACTAATGCTTACCCGCATTCGCTTTGTGCTTCTCTCTGTCTCTACATCGTTATCTACAGACTCTTCACTGTGTTCAATCTCATTAACAAGTCCTTGAGGAGGTGTATACCCAATATTGCCTTCTTCCGCTTCCGAAAAATGTGGAAGATTACTGTTTGGATTACCAAGTCGGTTCTCTGCTGATGAACAGTCCTCTAAGAGTCGTATACCCCATTCTTTTAATTCGAACGTAGATCTCCAACCTCCAGCTCTTATATGAATATTCATAACCACGTGATCGTAGTTCCCTTGAGCTAGAGGAGCATTACCTTCGTTTAGAGGGATACAACATTCCAATATAGTTAACATTTGACTACCCTTCTGACTTTTCGTGAAAAGTAAATAAACATAGAAATCAGAGCCAACATGAAAGCTGTTCCCAAATCTGTTTTTGAACTCACATTTCACCTCCATATTTTTTCCATGTATTACATTAGTTACCACTGCGCCAACCCTAAATCTGAAGAATGGATGAGAGAGATGTGTGGGAAGTAGAGGAATGGTCAGAGAGGAGACTCCAGTAGTACGGTAAGTGAAATATGATGGCACTTGTTCCCCTGGAAGTAACATGTATTTGAAAACAATTGATTCTTGGTGAAGGACAGTTTCTGGATCCAAGTTGAAACAGTCCCTGAAATCGAGTTTGACTTTGGAAACTGCGTCAATCTTGACAGCTTCCATCTCCTCCATCCCACTTGGATAGCCACTCAAATCAACTCTAGTCAACTCCCCACAATCTTTAAAGTCAACTTTCCCAAGATGTTTCAGTTTAGAAATGTGTAGGGATACACATTTTAGCCTGCTGCAACGATCCATACTTAGCAAACCAAGGTTAGAGAAGTTCTCGATCCACCAAGGAACCTCTTCAATCCCTGTTTCGTCTAGATTGAGACTTGAGATGTTGGTTGAGATTTCAGGAAAGCTCCTCAAGCGTGAGCATCCCTTGAAACTAAGGCTATAGAGAGATTGGAGGTTGATTCCAGTGGGTAGAGTCTCCAGATTTCTGCAGTTTGTGATGTCCAAAGACTCCAGATTATTGAGATTCTGAAATGAAGAAGGAAGCTCCACCAAACTTGGGATATTCTGGAGATGCAAGCTCGTCAAAGTGGGAGACAACATCGCCAGTAAGGGCGTAAGCGGCTAAACCAAATAAACAATTTATACATGTTAAACAAAATCACCTTAGATCATCGTGTGAACATAAGTTTGGTGGATTCCAATCTTACATCACATATTAAATTTCAAACTTTTACATATTAACCCAATTTTTGAATATATATATCATTTTCATTTGATAGCATAATAGTTAATATTCATTTTTTATATGATAAGATTGTAATTATTAATCTACTAAATTTGTAGTATCGAATTCAATTTATTAATGCCTTTTTCTTAATATTATTTGTTTAAACTGAAATGACAATATTGATATCACGTAATTTATATTGAACTCGTATCATTTTTAAATGTCGCTGTGAATATCTTATCATAACATATATTGGATTCAACCACTAGACCAAACCAAATTAGTTTTTATTTTATTTCTTAACTACTAGACAACATTTCAAAATAATATCATTTGATTATTCAACCTTAACATAATTCGTAAAATGTAAACAACATAAAATGTAATTTATAATTTGAAACATCTATATATATATATATACTAAACAAATAAAATTATCATTTTCAATATAATTTTATAATAAATTTAAATTGTTATATATTACTATAATTATTTTCAAATCACACTTTGAATATTATTATTCACAAACCAAAAGAAATTGAAAACTAAAAACCTCGAGTCTTAACCAAACATAAATCAGGGTTGAATATCATGCATTATCAATCTTCAATCATAAGATAAAATAAAATTAATTTATTCAATTTTTAAAATGGTTTAATTTCGTGCTATATCTGGATCTAGTATTATATATAGAGAAGAATACATGATATCTTGATAACACACCAAATGTAGTAGTGACTTTAAGTTTAGAACTACATACCTTGACTCCTTCCCATTGTTTCCCATCACTCTCTTCTTTTGATATGCTAAGCTCAACAAGATTCTCGAGATGTAAATTAGAAGGGAGTTCTTCAATGTTTGTTCCAGTCAGATAGAGATCTGAGATGTTGGTTGAGATTTCGGGAAAAGTCCTCAACTCCGAGCAATATCGGAAGTTGAGGAGGCCGAGAGATTTGAGGTTGAAGCCAGTTGGAAGAGTTTTCAGATTGTTGCAGAATTCCATGTTCAATTTCAACAGTTTATTGAGATTTCGTATGAAGGAAGGAAGCTCCACCAAACTCTTGCAATTCCCAAGCTCAAGTGTCTCAAGATTAGTAGCCATGGAAAGATCAGGAATTTCTTTCAGGTTGACTGATCCATCCAGATCCATTTCCTTTAGACATGTAAGTGGCTGTATTCAACAAAAATTAAACACAAAGCCCATTAGAAATTACACAACACATCACATTATTGTCATCTAAAAACTAAAATAAACACTATGACTTCCCTCATTAATAATAGCATAAGAAAATATTCTCAAAACTTACCACAACTCCATCCCACAACTTATGTAGCTTGCTATTCGGCATTTTGAGCTTGACAAGGTTTTCAGGACGAAAATTAGAAGGCATACACCTCATTGGGAATTCAGACCAGCACAATAGTTTGAGTGTAGGTGGCAAATAGTTGAAACTTTCAGGTAAGTCCAATCTGTTTTCTTCTCCAAAGATATCCGTACCAATTTTTAAGAAACGGAGATTACGCATCCCTTTGAAGGCACTCTTATGTACACACAACTGATCAATCTTACTTGTCTCCAATGATATACCTAAAACCTTTCGAGTATCCTGAAAAAAATATAAAATCAATGAGAAAGAGACTAAACCATACATGATACAGTTCATTGTTTATCAAATGGCAGTCTCTTAACCGCATATACTGAGTTATGAAAGGACCACAAAAAAAAAAGGGAACTTACAATGCCTTCACTGAGTACATCACAAATATCATTTGGATCCACCAGAAATTCTCGTTTTCCAAGTTTGTCAATTGACTGTGTGCGAACAATATTTTGGCCCATTTCTTGTAGCAAACGATGCATCTCCACATGACCCCATCTGACATGAATGAGGGACTTATCAACCAGGTTTTGCAGCCCAACATTAACACCCAATTTACTATCTGCGAGCAACGACTTGATGGTTGTGACATCCATATGATTGAAAATACATGCGATATGACGAAATATCGCTTGATCTTCTGCGCTACCTAACCCATCATAACTGATTCTTAGTATTTTCTCAATTTTATCGTCTAGACTATTCTGAAGCCGAGGCAGCATATCCACCCAGTACTCCTTATCCCTCCCCCTCAAACACGAACCCAAAACATTAAGACCCAAAGGAAGACTACCCGCATGTCTTGCAACTTGAACTACAAGCATCTCAAAACCTTCTGGTGGAGATTTTTTCCTGAAAGCAGATTGACATAACATTGCAACAGCATGCTCTTCAGTTGGGAGACTAAGTTCATAAATATGATCAATCCCATGAGCTCTTAAGAAATGCTTATTATTTGTAACCACAATGATTCTACTCCCACTTCCAAACCATTGAGTTTGACCCACCAAGGAATCTAAGATCACTTGGTCATCCAAATCATCAACGATGATAAGAACTTTCTGGTGTTGTAGCCTCTCTCCTAGTACACCTAGATGATCGATCTTTATGTCCGGCATCCTCAGAATTTCAGAGAGGAAGCTCTCTTGTAAATTTAACTTCATGTTGTGGTCGTCCGGATTGGCTCCACTATAGATTTCTCTACTCTTATATACAAAAGCTCTGTCTATGAATTTGCTAACTTGGAAATTACGAGAAAGTTGGTTAAACAGAGCTCTTGCGATGGTAGTCTTACCAATCCCTGAGGAACCCCATATACCAACCATTCTCACTTCTTCAGACTCCAGTTGCAACAATCCACTCATATTTGCAATATGATCTTCGATGCCAACAAAATTTTCAAAATCTTTGGGTGTAGTTAAAAGCAGTTTACCCAAAATATCATTGGCTATTTCTTCAATCATTTTTGCTTCGTCATCCCTAATAAGGTGAAAGATAATTTAACAAATTATTTCAAGATGTATCTAATAATGAATTAGTACAAAAATCATACCAGGTCGCCGAATCAAATCCAAGCATATTAGCTACATCAGTCAACGCTTTCTTCCACTGATTTTTCACTTCCTCTGAATGTCTCCTGCAAGTCTTTTCAAAGATACTTCCAAAGTCACCGATTTGATGCCTCACTTGGGAAGGATCCACACCGTAGAAAACCGGTATGACAATTTTATCATTGCAATTCACAATCTCCAGCAACTCGTTAAGACACCAGCTTGATGAAGCATAGTTTTTGGAGAAAAGGACCACAGCGATCCTGGACTCCTTGATCGCTTGTTCAAGATCGGGCCATAGAGAGTGGCTTCTCTCGATCTCATTGTCTCTGAAAGCAGTGATCAGTTTGCGATCGAGCTCTTTGAGAAAGTGGCTACGGAATGTTACACGGACGTCTCCTCCTCTGAAGCTCAAGAAAACATCATATAACCAATTGCGAGAAGAAGATGAAGAAGCCATAGACAGAGTGAGAAGGAGGAAACTAGGAACAAAGACTTTGGAGATTGAGATTGTAATCGTACGTCGTGGTGATTTATATAAAATATTAATCACGGCCACAAAAGTCTTCACTATTGTTTCTCAGACACAACTTGACGGATATTTCCAATTTAATGTCTTAATCATCGTTGTACAAGGTCACAAGCAAATGTTTCATAGCCTCTTAAGTCTTATCCTTACATTACTATTCATAATAATTTAAGAATTTAGAATTTTTAGAGTGGGGACATGAACCAAGGACATGTTTCCCTTGCTCATGGCCTTAACATTTTTGAGAAGCTCTAGTCTGAATCAGAGACATGTATGGTCTAACTATGTAAATGTATTCAGTAACTCAATTGTTTTGACCATTTTACTGATTTTAGAATTAGGGTTTACAGAGAAACGTGTGCAGCAAGCTACCAAAATAGATTTTGTTGAATTACTCTGAATACCAAAATTGATTTCAATCAATCTTTGTGGAATTTAACCTGATTTAGAAACGTATAGGATCCATCATGAACAAAACAAACACGGTTTGGAAAAACAAAGTTACAGAGACCAAAAGGAAAAACATTCATCTTTTAGACTAGAGAGTTCAAGGTAGTGATAATTAGGGTTTCGAAGTTGGCTTATATATGACAAAACTCTCTTCTTACCATTGGGTTAAAACAAACATATTCATTATAACCTTGATGTCGAATACATGTGTGTAGAAATGAAATTAAAGGATAGAGAATTAGATGATGGAAGTATTTCATTCTTGGGTTGTGCTTCGCTATAAATTCCACAATTTTGTAATCAGATGCGTTTTTTTAAGCATTTGTCATCAGTTTTACTTCACTAGTAAATGCAAAAACATAACTTAAAAAGTATGAATAAAGATTATACAAAATGATATTTTGGTTTACAAGAGTTCTCTTCTCATACTACACTATTTTGAGTTCTAATATGGTGATGATGCAATCAACATGGGTTTCTTCATGATCAAATGATATGAACTTTGCCATCGCTGATCATCACTTTGTTATCATCTTGCAGTTTCTGCATGTAATCCACAATAGAGTAAAGTTATGAAGAAATTGGATAAAAAGCAAAAGAATGAGAAAGCTTTGTGATTTACCTCTAAGAGAGCCATAATCTCATCTGCAGAGAAACGAGAAGCCCCAACTCCATTGTTGTTGACAACAGTCTCTATATCTGCAATCGAAATGTCATCGAGCCTGTGTGTCCTCATGTGCTGCCCAAACACTCGTTCAAATGTTTCAATCCTTGCTGCAGAGACCGTGCCGCTGAATTGCTCTACTGGAGGTTCATCTACTTCCATTGGATCTGCTGTTTCACTGAATGGACCAGCAAAAATAAAAAGGACAAAGTATTAGGGTTTAGAAAGCTGTGATATGAGTTTTCTCATGGAGGAGATCAAGTTATAGCTACCTGTCGACATTTGCAGCGTCATTCTCTTCTCCATTTTCATTATTCCTGCGTTGGTTGCCTCTATGACCACTTGGTGTTCTTTCTTGTTCTGCTTGTTCCCTTTGACGTTCTTCTTGCTCGCGATCATCCATCTCTGTTAATTCTTGATGATATATTGCAAAGTTCATAAGCTTCAAGGCAGCCTCTGCATCGGCTTTAGTAACCTTTCAAAATAAAGATATTACTTTATTGTGAATCTGAATAGAACATATTCACCACCAGCGGGGAAAACAAAAGATTTGAGTTAGTTTGTTACCTCTCTGCTCAACTTCATTTTGGCATGTGCCGTAGCAAGACGGATTATTGTTTCTAGAGTTCTTGCTGTTATCGGAAGTGTACCTCCAGTCTGCAGAGATTTCGATGGTTGTCAAATACAAGTTCCCAACAAAACCAAAACACTCAAGTGTCCAATGTTATTTTATGAAATGAATTACCTTAGTATCGGAACCTGCATTTCTGAGATCCGCATATGCTTCTGCAATACGTTCCGATGCCTGCAAATTTAATAACAAAAGAGAGGTTTTAGTGGAAAAGATTATCAGATTCAGATACATAAAAATTTATATATTTGAGTTCAGTGTCTCACTTCATCAGTGAGCTTTGGCGTAATACGGTGCTTGGCATAATGAATGTACTTCTTCAAGAACTTAATCGTAAGGGTTTTATCATGTGTTTGGCCTCTTTTCTTCTTCCCATGTAGCGTTTGGTTATACTTAACAAACAATTCACTCTCACCATCGTCCTCTCTCGCGTATGGCAAGGTCCCATCTGGCCCTGCCTCACCTATGGTTCACTCAAAAGCCAGATATATTTCAAGACATGGGTTGTGAAATATTTAGTAAAACATAGAAGCGTGATTTGTTTCCTACCTCTATCGTTCTTGTAACGATGCATGCGCAAGACATGTTCTGAAATCAGGCTGTCGATACCAGCATCCATTTGATCCAACACAATAAACAACAGATCAAAACGAGAAAGCAGCGAATCCGGAAGTCCAATGTTCTTTGTTGGAGTCAGTGATCTATCATACTGCAGAAGCAAGAGTAGTATATTAGGACAAGGGATACTAGTCAGTAGAGTCAGCAGATTAGGACAAGTTCTGTGTGAACTTACAGTTCCATATATGGGATTTGCAGCTGCAACCACACTGCATCTAGCATTCAGTGATGCATGGATACCAGCTTTTGCAATCGTTACAGTCTGTTGCTCCATCACTTCATGTATAGCAACTCGGTCCTGATCGTTCATCTTATCAAACTCATCAATGCACACAATACCTTTATCAGCGAGGACCATTGCACCAGCTTCTAGTCTTCGTTCCCCTGATGAAAATGAGAATTTGATTTTTATGAGAAATAGCACTTCGACCTTTTCCAAATTTTGATTTTAGCATTTGATTAAAAAATGTCAAAAAGCTTTTGTGCGCTTTTTACCTGTTTCTTGGTCAGAAGTCACAGCAGCAGTTAACCCAACACCGGAAGAACCACGGCCAGTGGTTGATATAGCCAATGGTGCAATATTCATTATCGCTCTCAGAAGTTGAGATTTGGCAACAGATGGATCACCAACCATCATCATGTTGATGTCTCTGAAAGCACAAGATTTGTTTTTAAGTGAAGAAAGAAAAAAATGAGTAACACAAAAAGTATCCAATGAACAGAAGCTGAAATCTATTTTCAAGCAAGACTAACCCTCTCAAGTGGGTACCGTTCTTGAGGTTCTTTTCAACACCGCCAAGCATCAGTAAAACTACTGCTTTCTTTATCCAAGCGTGCCCATAAATAGAAGGTGCTAAGGAACGAGCAAGGAGATCAAACGCATCATCTCTTCCTGCAATATTTTTAATGTTCTGTAGGTCTCGCGGAGTGTATATAGGTGCATTTGCTTCTTTGTTGAGCAGAGCGATATTATTGGCTATGAGGATAGTCCTACACAGAAAGAGCTTGGTCAACATAATCACAGTGAAAATAACATCTTGAACTTATGGATGTGTAAGAAAACACACCTAAAGACTCCATTTACACTACCCTTGCTTTTTCCTGGAAGAGCTTTGTAAATGCCGAAAACAGACACTCGATCTCCTGGCTTGCATGAGTCAACAAGGTCATCCTCAGCTATGACATCAACGCTTCTTGGAAGCTGACCAGGAGCAGCATTTTCAGGCACTTCTTGAATTGACAAGGTCTGATGATCTTTGTATTTGCACAGCCCATACTCAGTCACCAATAAGTTGCCCTTATCATCCTGAAAACAAAAATTCAGTAACAGGAAAATCTTCCAGCAGTAAAGGTAAATGAACAAAACGAAAACAAAAACATGTAATTACCCTTGTGGGATAGACAGACCCAGTGGGTAAACCGGCGTGAGATGTTATGTCTCGATAATCTCGATTGGTAAATTCACCGGTTGATGGACAAAAGTGAACACTTTTAACAACCTTTGGCCTCACAAGAGAGCCTGAAAGCAAAGCATGTGTCAGAGACTTAATATCTTCACTAAGGAAACAGCGATTTCACTAATCAAGCTTCTCTTGATAATTTGCCAGCGTAAAGTGAAAAATGCTTACATTTGGTGACAATGCCCTCAACACAAACCATAGATCCGATAAACTCAGAGAGAAGCTCTCTAGGAGTCACAACACGAGAGACAAAATAACCTTCAAAACCAACAAGGACTAGCTCTCCTTCCTTCAAGTATTTAGGATCAATACCGCGAGTAGCTTCAGTGGCTGCGTCGCAAAATGACTGCATATACTCATTTGGATTCTTCAGTATCCTATCCAAAAACAAAGCAATAAACTTTAAGGACACAAAACAAATGACAATTGTTGTGAATCGAATCCTCAAGAATCCCCAAATTCACAACCCTAAATCTAACAAAACCCTAAAATCTGCCATAAATTCATTACCTTTATACCAAACAACAGATTAAAAATTCGAGGAAGACACAGATTGAGAAGGTGACAAACCTAGAGGCAGAATCGCGGAAGTAGTGATGAATGTCAGAGATATTAATAATGAGACGGTGACGTTTTTGCTGTACCAAAGCTTTGATTTCATCCATATACATCTACACAATTCCATAAAAATCCAACTTTTATAGTTAGACAAGATCAGAAGCTCGAGAAATGTCTGGTGAGAGAAATCGACTTACGTTATCGAGGAACTGGATAAAATCTCGCTTGTGGCGAAGCCTCGTCTCCTCCGGTACATCCATTTCTTAACAAAATCTGGGTTCTTCGAAAGCCCTTCTTCTTCTTCTTCGTCTTCTTCTTGAAACCTCTGATTAGCAAATTCCGATTTGGAGAGGCATAAAGGCTTCTCCTTTGGCGGGATATTGGGAGATAACCTGTACCCTTTTTGGCGGGAAGAGTGTGTCATTTTGGGCCGATATTAATTGGGCCTTATCTATGGGCTTTTGACTAACAAAATTTGGGCCAATCAATTTCGGCCTTTCTTTACGCGCGTTTGATTGGCGGTGGTGTTTACGCTCTTCTTTTGCGCGTTTGATTTCCTCGAGGCGATATAACACCAAACCGGTACGGTAATTTCATATTATATTCGGTTTACACTCAGATTCTAAACCTAAAACCAGCATACCAAATCAATTCATATTTAGATTCGGTTTACTTAGAAAGAAGATGAGAATCCCCTAATTTGGATTATTCTGACACTAACACCGTTACTACAAGATTCTCTCAGTTTTCTGTTTTATAAATTACGCAAATATGGAACGAACTAAGATACAAACATTCCGCAGACAAGAGAGAGAACAAACAAAATCTGAAATCTCAGCAACAGTAACAAAACGGGGAATGGAAAAATAAGAACCGCAAAAGGCCAGAGGAAGAGCTCGAACTTGTGAAACCAAGAAGCTGCAAGTGGTGGTGATGGATGATGTAACGGATGGGGTAGAGAATCTAAAAGGTATGAAGAAATCAGGGTTTGAAGGCAGAGAAGGCGACGACTGAGTTGTGTCCACCGAACCCGAATGAGTTTGATATGGCTGCAGCAAAACAGAAAGACATTATTAATCAGAGAGAAACCGTTGTCAGTTCTATCGAATGAGAAGCGGTCATGTTGTCACTTACCAACATCAACTTCGTGCTGCTTCTTCTGGTTTGGGACAGTGTCAAAGTCCACAGCTTGTTCTGGGTTCTACAATGAGAAACAAAGAGTGTGAGAGTCTAAAACAAAGACCAAGTTCAAATCTTGCAACAGTTCAAACTGAAAGCGGAATCAAATACGTACAAATTGGTTGATGGAAGGATGCAGCCATCCAGTGTTAATAGCCTTCACTGTGGCGATGGCTTCTAGACCTCCAGCTGCACCGAGGCAGTGACCTATCATAGACTGTAACAAAAAACGTCATTTACAGGAATTGCATAGCAAACAAAGACATGAAAACAGAGGAGAAGAAGAAGAACACTCAATCATGGTAGCATTGGGAACAAACCTTGGTGGCATTGATTTTGATCCCTGAAGTGCTCTTGAATACCTTTTTAATTGCATTAATCTCAGCAAGATCACCAGCAAGAGTGGAAGTTGCATGTGCATTGATGTAATTTACCTGAAAAACGTGGAACGACCGAATGAGTATAAGTAGGGAAGTAACAGAAATTTAATTGAACCCTTTGTTTGAGATAGCCATAAAACTTCGGAAGCATGAAAAGTTTGTGTTATATACCTCCTCAGGTGATACACCAGCATCTTCAAGGCATCTCTCAATGCATGAAGAGACACCAAGCCCATCAGCTCTTGGATCAGTCATATGGTGAGCATCACAGTTAACAGCACCTCCAAGATATTCTGCTACAATTGGAGCACCACGTTTCATCGCATGTTCCAAACTTTCCATCACCTATAAGAGCATACAACAATTATATAATTAATGGGTGTCTCCAAAACAGCATGTCACACGTATGACCCAATCTCATGGTGAAATAAACCAACTTTGTAGAGTATCAAAATGCAAGTGCAAGGATACAACCCCAGCTAATTGACTATGGGAAGGCAAGTTTTCTCATTTAGAAGTAGAAATCATTCAGCCTAAGATAACACTGTATCAAATCCTCCAGTTTCACAGAATTTAGACCAAAACAGGCTCGTATATACTATACACACAGAGGCAACTGTATGTTCATAGTTTCAATGTGAGAGTGAGAATTTCTGAAACATACCAGAACACCAGCTCCTTCACCCATAACAAAGCCATCTCTTGCCTTATCCCACGGCCTCGAAGCAGTTTGAGGGTCATCATTCCTCTGAGACAATGCCCTACAAGCAACAAAACCTCCCAACCCAATAGGAATAATAGCAGCCTCAGTCCCACCAGCAATCATCATATCAGCTTCACCACGACGAATGTGGTTCGCAGCAGCGTAAAAACAGTAATTCGAAGTAGCACAAGCAGTAGAAATCGAGTAGTTAGGACCCATAAGACCAAGATCAATCGCCAACAAAGCAGAACCCATGTTTGTTATAGCATAAGGTATAAAAAATGGACTAATCCTCCTATGACCCTTCTCAATCAAATTCTGAACTCCTTCTGAAAACACAGTTAAACCTCCCATTCCAGTACCAACTAGTACTCCAGCTTTCCTCTTATCAATCTGCAACAAACCCAAAAACCAAAATCAAAACTTGGACTCCTAAACTCTTAAAAATTGAAACTTTATAATCAATTTCAATTCATATGTTACCGTGTTAAGTTTATCACCACCAAGATTGGCACTTTCAAGAGCTTTTTTACCAGCAACAATGCAATACTTCAAACAATCATCAAGCCTACGCTCATTTTTGCCATCAATATAACCTTCAGAGCTAAAGCCACGGATCTGACCACCGAATCGAGTAGGGAACTTGGAAGCATCGAAACGATCAATCAAACTGATTCCACTCTCACCAGACAAGAGTTTGTCGTAGTAAGCATCAACATCGTTACCAAACACAGAGACAAGACCCATGCCAGTAATGACAACTCGTTTCTTCGGATCTGTTTCGCGTTTAGGAGCGGAAACAGTGGATGCTGATGCGGAGATGAAGGAGCGGTGTCTTCTCAAAGGTCTCGCATTGGTGGTGATTATCTGATGTGATTGACGATTTGATGGTAAGCGAAGTGGGTTTGGTGGAGAAGCACGGAGAGATGACGATTGAAGAGCTTGCATGGTGGATCCAGAAATTGAGATTGAGATTGAGAGAGAGGAAGGCGATAAGTACGATGTTGTGAAAATGGTGTGTGATGTGTGTTTTGCGAAAGAGCTCAAGTGCGTCAGATTTCAGGAGCAAAGTCTTATTAGTATATAAAAACAGCGAAATATTCGAGGAATTTTTTGGACAGTAAATTTTTCTCTAAGTCCTTTAATTTTTACAAATGTTTTAGTTTTAGCCTTATAGTTTATGTTATTCTACTATTTTGTCTATAAAAAATAGCTTCGATGCGGATAATTTGGCATGAAAAGTTCTTACCGAACCGCATCATATCACAATCACATATGTAAACAACATTTCTCGAAATGGCTCTTTTGAGTTTTAATTAAAAGATGTTGACAAAAAAAAAATTGCTCCGATCTGTTTCGTACCTCGATTAAAGATACGTGTAGTTTTCGAATGGGGTAAACGATATCATAATTTTATTCGCTATCACATATCAAAAAAATTTCTATTGTTTCTGGTTTTATCTTGACCTCGATTACTTTTTTTGGATTGGATTTTTCAAAAACGTAGAATCTTTTACCAATTAGAATATTTTTTAGATTTCAAAAATAGATTTGTTTTACTCAAATTAACATTTACACACATTGTTTTGTTTCAGTTTTCATCGGTTTGGCTTCGGAATTTTGTAAAGTTGTTTTTTCGTTATTATAATACTATTCAGTTTTTAGATAATTTTTTCATTTTGGAGTGATTTATTAGCTTTAGTTGGGTTGAATATATATATCCACAGGGAACAAAATCTGAAATAACAACGTTTTCATTTGAATTGGATGATAACACTTACAATCATACCATGGTAATAATACAACTTTTGTCCCAATTGTTTTACTTAGAAATTAATTGAGTAATTTTATTGTTTGTAGTTCACAAACATGTCAAATAAGTTTGATCATTTAATGTAACTTTTTATTTTCGACGGGCCCAATTTGCCCCACTATGAAAAACAAGAGTCGAACTCTCGTGTTCGTGATAAGAGAAGACAAGCCACTTGCCTTATGGTTCTTGGCTCACTTTATCTTTTTATTTTGGGCAAAATGGATACTATTAATAAATCGAAATTAGTCTTCAGACGGAGAAGACAAAGCTCAATTCGTCCAAAGGCCCCTAAATGCTTACAAGTTACAACTATTCACTTTTTGGCCTAGTAGTTTTATTCCCTCAAGATTTAGCCTCCCATAAAATAAGACATTTCAAAATGTACAATTGTGCTGGGTGTATTCTGTAGATTGTAATTTGTAGTGCTAAAATTCGCAAAATAGCGCGATAGCATTTTCGTGAATACGTTATGCATAGTATTGTGCTTGTTTTACAAAAATGTGATGCCATGTAAAATAAAATGCTATCAAATAAAGTTCCATGAAACTCATCAAAACCTATTTACATTATTAAGAAAATTTGTGTATGGGATCCTTCAAGATATTAACTACTACCCTCCATATTTTTAGCTAATGTTTTCTTTAACATTCCGAAAACCGTCAATATGTTGATCGATTTTGTAGATAAGAAAATCTTGCGAAATTTCGTATCTGATGTAGTTTAAAACCGTGTTTGGTTATCAATGAAGTAGCTGTTCAAAAAATAAACCTTCTACAATTTGCTTATTTACTAGATATCCTCTATTAATTTTTAAAAGCTGAAATCATGCATGTAAAAAGAATACCTATAGAAATAACAAGTAACCGGAAATAAATACTCGAAATGTAATTAAATAGAGTTGGGCAAGGTTGGTGAACCGGTATTCACGTGGGGGCATTGATCTTAAAATAGCCAAGACAACAATCAAAGTTGTTAGTAGAAAGCTGGTATAAGTTGTTCACCACCCAAGTTTTTTTCTTCTTTACAAAAATCTAACACTTCATATAAAGTCTTACTGTTTTATGTTACTTGTTTGAAATGATTAGTACAATTATTCACACACAAAAATAGGTTCATAATTTGATTGTTTCAAACGTAACTTTTGTGTTTGTATTAGTACTTATATGTGAATTTTATTATTACATTTTTGACATACAATTGTTACTATCCACAAAAGTACTTGTAGTTCTTTACATTTGCTTCGGTGCTTCGCAATAATAGCAGCCTAATTAATCCACATTTAAATATAAATCCGTTTTGTCCAATTTAGCTTAGCGTCAACTACGTGACTCCTCCGTCGATCATTCTCTTATAACAAACATAAAATCTTGAGAAATAAAAATAACTCTTTCTCATGTATTTGTTTTTTGTTTTTTTTTTTTTTTAAATATATTATATGTTTCTCTACGTATAGCTGCTCCAGTAACATGAGTTTCAAATTATTACTGTAAATGGTTAGCCTTCAAATGAATGAGATGAAAACAAATTGATGAAAAAATAGATATGAATAGTTTTCATTTTATTCATCTTTGTGTAGAATGGATGAAAACTTTTTTATTTTTCTTCTTTGTTCGAGATGAAAGAGATAAATAATAAATTTTACACTTTCAACTCAAATGGTAAAATTTGAGAACTCATCATCATTTCCCCATATTCTTTATAAAATTAATAAATCAGTTTCATTTTGGACATAATGAACAAAATGTTGTATGAACCTAGGAAGCACGGAAGCTTCGTCGGAGGTCCGCTTCCCGCTTCGGAATCTTAGTCGGAATCGGAAGCTCTCGGAAGCTTTCGGAATTTTTAACGCTTCTAAAAATTTCATTTTGGAAGCTCCTTGGAAGCTTACGATTCTATTATATCGTTGGAAATTCATTACAAATTTTAGTTGTGGTAATTACGTTGCATAATTTGTATGAATATTATTGGAATTTTCCAACAAATATTATATATTGTTGGATAGAAGCAATAACTTTTAAGTTGTTGGAAAATTCTAACAAAATATTTGTTTTCTAGTAGTGTATCTTGACACTCCAAGGCGAGGAATCCATCAAGTGTGCCTAATGCAGTGGCGATGACATAGTGTCCACCAAGAGGAATGAACTCAAGTTCAGAATTAGAAGGATTATAGAGGTTTCCCTAAAAAACAAACAAAAAGTTAAAAATTAGTGGGATTCTGAGATCAAGTATTAATCCACAAAAACAAAGATTGGAAATCAAATGCTTTAGAAAATATATGAAAGTAAACTAAGAAGCAGAATTAAAATACAATTCCTGACCTGAGTGGTGTAATAAGAAGTGATACACTTCGAATTGAATACTGAGTGGTCCTCCCTCCCTGAGCTGATACTCCAACTCTTGATGAAACATTGATAAACCATCCTCACCACCATAGTCCGCTATGTAATCATAGATAGAATGAACGTCACAAATGCTTGGGATAATTCTCTCACATCCCTGTATCAAGGGAAAAAAACATTAATTAAAGGTTAATTTAACAAAGAGAGAAGAGAATGAAGGAGAGAGAACATTTTACCTCAGTCGTTGTGCTCTCATCTAGGAAAACCTGCTCCTCAGTGATAGGACAATCTTCTTCGTATACTGTTCCACTCTTTCTAAAATGATGGGCAAGAGCATAAACATTTAAAATTCCAACTTCATTATCTATAAAATGACCAACTACACCGTGTTCATCGTAATAATGCCTCGGCGTGGAATTCATTAACTCCTGGATAGACAAAACTTTAACAATATTGATAAAAGCCTGGGTTCCCAACCATTTCTTCATCTTTCGAACCAATTGTGCATTCGAGTGGTTAACATCATACATCTATTCCCAAATCCCAAATGACTAAATAGTATAATACTCGTGTACAAAGTAATATATGTATATTTTAGTGTTTAAGTTTAAAGTTTGCAAAAATATATAGTGAACAAATTAATGTATCATAGTTTTCAGAAATACAGAAAGTAGCATTTTAACATGTTTGAGCAAATGTTAAACTTTGTGTCTCAACAACACTATCAATATTAGACGACAATAAAAGGAAATTAATGTTGGGAATTATCATTGGGTTTGATTGGGCCAAACCCAACACAATTTCTATAAACTAGAATGTGAAAGAATTTTATATAATGTTATTGAACGAATCTAGTGTACTGTTGAGTATGGGTTTCAGTTTCACCCCTTCTATTCATTCGGTTCAAGAAGAAGAGTTGACTTGACTTTCACCAGAGAAAGTCAATGACGCTCGGCCCATTACACAAATAATCGGTCCACTATCAGGATCGGTCTATTTTCCAGAAGCACTGATAACTCTGCTGTCTCAGGGGTAGAAAGGATATCCCACATCGATCTTGAGACAAAACCTTACAGATCTCTCCTCACATCTCGGTACCAACATGTACGAATCTCATGTGTATTAAGGTAAAAAGTAGGGTCTCATATAAAAAAATGAGCCAAACTATGAAATCAGGAGACAAGAAGTAGAAACTCTCGAATACCTTTGAGCTTCCAAAACTCATTGGCTTGAAGTAAAAATACATTGACATTTTACAAATACAACTCTACATTGGCTTTTTGACTAATTCAACATCCGTTCGTATCAGTCAATTCTACATTACATTGGCTCAAAATATACTAACATAAATTGCCCACCACAAAAGACTTTGACCCTTATATAAAATATTGAGAGAAATTTGAGATTCGATTTGGTTGGAATCATTACATGATGACAATATAACTTAATACTTATCACCAGCTCTAGTTGCCAGTTGGTTTGATTTTTCCTACAAAAAAAAAAATTTAGATTGCCTGAAACTTAACCAGCCCAAAAATAACTCAAAGCCAAAAAAAATACACGTGTTGGTTTTCGTCTTTCTCCTAAAACCTAATTTTCAATTTCTTCTTCCTTTTGTTAACATCATGGTGATGATAAAATTTGCAGTTATGAGTCATTATTTACACTAACAGAGGAAAAAAAAAACCATAAACGCAGAAATGAACAAGAATTTCATATTGAATTGAAAGAATAAAAAAAGAAAAATCAAATTCTACATAGTAACTAGAAATACAAGAGAAAAAAAAAAAACAGAGAGTTGACAAAAAAAAAAAAAACTAACTTTTGTTAGAATTTACAACCACAACAGAGGAAGAAGAAAGCAAGCTTAGATACCAAAACCATAGCTTCGATGACAGACATGATTCTGTATCTCAAAGTTTCCAAAAACGACATCTTCAGATTCAATCTCTTCCACTTTACCCCTCCAAGTCCCAAAAATTTCAATCTCGTCCTTTCTTTCGTCGTCTTCCATAAAGAAAACTTCCCTTTTCTCATCATCTTCTTACAATTTTTGAGCTGCTTCCAAAATCGAAATGTACAAAGAAAAAGAATTAAGGTTCTGTTTTGTTTCAGGTGGTGTTGTTATAAAGTCTCCGAAGAGTTTTTTTATACAATCTAAAGTCGAGGGTATTTTGGTCATTTTGAGTCGTAGATTCGAAGCGCGTTTCCAGATTCCAAAGATCAACTTAGGTGTTCTGACGTGGGAGCACTCTGTTTTTCCTAAGAATTTTCGTGGACATATCTTTTTTATTCCTTTATATAGATTTTTTATATATATACATACCAGTTGTTTTTAGTGAGAATTTATTATTTTTAATTTAAATGATTATCCTAGTTCTTAGGAATGTGTACATTTTTTTCCGTATTTTTTTTTAACGTCATAGCTTATTTTTATCGTGAAGAAACCCAGATTGAATAAATCAAATATACCCAAATATTTATATCAGCTAACTTTTTTTAAAAAAAAATCAAATATATATATACCCGATTGCATAAATCAAAATTTTGGAACAATTGAAGCCCATGAACGAAAGTTTGAGGCCCACAATAGTTAAACAATGCTGAGCCGAATTGGAATCAGAAAATGAGAAGTAACTAAGAAGAGAATTGGTCGCTACTCGCTAGGGTTTGTTTATTTAATCTAATTGTTTTGTTTAAAATTGAAATGCAGTAAAACTTCTATAAATTAATAATGTTGGGATTAGCAAATTTTATTAATTTAGATAGGGTATTAATTTATAGAGTATTAATTTATAAAAGTTTTACTGTAACTGGTAGATTTTTTTCTTTCTTTCTTAAACTGTTAACAAGGTCATAATTGTACATTCATCTTCACTTAAAACAATTGTGATCGTGAACCTCAATTTATTTTTTCCTTTCTCGAAATGGAAAATTTGGGATTATAATGTAAATTTCCATGGAACTTTAAATTCAGACCGTTGAAAAATTAATTACTGTTGTTTTTCATTAATAACATTTATCAAATAGACAATAGATTTAACTTTTTCAATAAAACTGTGAACTGGAGTTTCTTAATTGGGACATTTGTAGTATTACTATTTTTATAAAAAGCAGATAAAAATGGTAAGAACCAAAGACTTTTGACGTAGAATAACATCAACATGTGTTAGACATATAACTTAATGCGTTTGTCACTTACTTGACACAATACATTATATACCTGTCGAAGGGATTTTCACTTAATTATCTTTCTACCTCTGTCTTTTTAAAAAAATCCGCTGTCTATATGTATATAAATATGTCTAGAAATTTCCTTTTTTCATGGATTTTTTGTAAGGTAATATAAAAGAGGATTCTTTATATTGAAAATCATTAACAAATGACATTACATTTCAACAAAGAGGATTTTTAAGAAAAGAAATTAATTTCTCCTTTCTCTTTGGCGAATACAGCCAAATTTTTGGCATTAGATGGAGAAATTCAAATTCAGTCCGTTGAAATATTTGTGACAAATTACTATAATGTTCTAGAGCTTCCTAATCGGGACATTTGTGGTATTACTATTAATAGAAACAAAAGATAAAATCAAAGACCTATGTAAAGAGCAACATCAACACAAAATGACATAGCTTATAAGAGCATATATGCGTTTGACTTACACTATATATAATTTCATAAATGTCATGAATATGTTTAGATTTTGATCACAACATAACTCGTAAAATGTCTAAAATATTTTGTCTATTACCACGTTCAATTACAACAACGTACGTATTCAAATATAATTACTAATTGTATCTTTAAGTCCATCCACTCACGCTAAATGTATCTTTAAGTCATTTTAAAGTCCATCCATCCACACGTATTTTCTGTTGAAATCATTTTTTCTCTTTAAATATGCATTTAAATTACATAGTATAATATATACATATATCTACTAGTTTCAAAAGAAAATACTTAAAAGCTCCATCAGTGGTATTAGATAAAATGAAATATATTTATTTGTATTATAATAATTTGTGTACAAGTTGAAAAATTAAGTATCGTATGTGTGTTAATAAATAACCCACCTGACACACCACATCTATAAATAGAGGGGGAAATTTGCAGAAAAATTAACAAATTGAAGAAAGACCTAGACATAAAAGTTTCCTCTCTTGTCTTCTGAATTCTAACAAGAAATCAAGAAATGGATCATGGAGAAATGAGCACCAAGGAAACTACGAATGTGAAGCTTATACCCGGGTACGAAAATGTGATGGAGCTCGTGCAAAGAAGAGAAGAGATGAAGGTAAGTCTTTATTTGAAATTATTTTTTATTTTATATACTTTTTTGTCTACAAGTATTAAGATTATCGTTAAAAATTAGGCTGTCGAGAAGAGGATGAAAAATTTTATTGGAGAAAAAAAGATTGACGATCTAAACTTGAGAGAATTAATTGAGTTCGAGAAAAAGCTTGAAGCTAAACAGCCTAAGGTAAGTAGTGCTCATTTTAACACTCTTCTGAATTTGTTTATGTTTATAAAAATATAATTTTTTTGTATAATTTAATTGAATTGTGTAGAAGATGGAAAAGATTTGTTTGAAAGACATGACAGAGGAAACCAAAGATCTTATAATTCTGAAAGAATTTGTAAACTTTAAGATTGGAGAAATGCAGACTAAGATTTCCAGTCCTCAAGACGACGAATTTGATATTATAATGGAAGTAGGAAAAAAGGAAGATGTGAAGGTAAAATGTTGGTTAATTTTTTTATTTGTTTTTTAAATTTCTACACAACATTAATTATAATGTCTTAAACAATATAGGGTTTGAAAATGAGGATGAAAGTGTTCATTGGAGAAAAGGAGTTTGAAGACATACACTTGGAGGAATTGATTGAGTTCAGTAGAAAGCTTGAAGCTCTTTACCCAAAGGTTTGTAGAGTTTAACATTTTTTGTTTATTATATATGTTTATTTTGGTCTGAAAATTGTTTTCTAAGTTTTCATTTTTATTTTTTTGAAGAGCGTGAAAGATGTGCATTTGGACGACATGAAAGGAGAAATTAAAGATATAATCATTATGAAAGAAATTGTAAAGAAAATGATCGCGAAGAGGGATCCTACCTCGTCTAAAACGACGATCATCGACGATTATTTTTAATTAGAAATTAGTAACATATAAATTCATTATCTTGGATCATATATGATCACTTTACCGCTTGTTTCTCTCTTCAAAATATTTACAGAATAATTTGGGATTTACTTTAATTTCAAAAAACTTATGTTGTTAGTTTGTTACTTTATATTGGGATTCTCATAATTAAAAGATATATTTTAATGTCTATTGCATAAATTTTCATACTTTGGTTTTCAAAGTTTATAATAAGATGTGTGCATGACTACTATGTTAAATTTTGTTTTATACCAATTTATTGTAAAGAAGTTATAAAAAACAAATGAGATCTCGCCTATAGGTTACAAATTATAAAACATGGTGCGTCTTCAAATGCGTCATACATCAGTATTAATTATGCATTTTTAAGAAAGTTTTTGTTTGAAAATTTGAGTCGCTAATTTGATCCAGTGGATAGAAAAAGAATAACATACAAAAGAGTTTGCTAAGAAAAATAAAGTTGTGGTTTTCATCAAAAAGATACATAGCAAAGACTTTTGTCGAAGAACAACACCAACATGGAAATACATTATTACTGTCTTTATGAATTCCACATACTGGAGACGGTATACATCTATAAATGGAAGAAAGGATTAACAAGAACGAAAGAAAAAGAGCAAAGAGAAATTAGACATCCAATAATGAACTTAGTCCAATATTCGTTTTTTGCGATATTGAAAATACTTCTTTTTCATTTTCTTATACAGTGTAAGTTTTGATTAAATAATTCTTTAGCAAAAAAGAAAAAGTTTTTATTAAATTTTTGAAAGGCTATATATATAGCTTCTTATCCTATAAAATGTATTTAAAATATACACAACTCCATCACAATATCTATATCTATATATATATATATAATATATATATATATATAATATTGATTTAAAATTTTACCGAATTGTTTCCTTTAAAATTTTGATATTGTCTTCACAAAATGAAATTCTAATTGTTTCCATTAGCGAAGGTTAAGAATTTTTTGTTGTTGTTGCAAATCTTGGATAATATCAATGTGCAACAACTTAATTTTTTGTTGCAAAACTTACCAAAAAAAAAAAAAAACTTGGATAATATCTGTTACTAATCATTGTGGGTCCAATAAACCGTATTTAACCGGAATAAACCAAACCAAATAGATATTTTAATGTAGTAATTAAGTTACTGTCCAAGCTTAAACCCTAACGGTCAAACCAACGCAATATTTAATTTTTGTTACTAATCCTCGAAGTTGGTGCCTTTATACGTTCGTTTACTATTCCTTAAAAGTGATTCTTCTCATTCCCTATTTTCTCTTGCATTTCTGGCCATGGTTAGGGTTCCACCTTCTAAACCCTCCAAAACCGTCGAAGAAGATGATCCAAAGTTAGAAACTTTCAAGGAACCTAATCTTGATTCCATCGACTCGTCCTTTGGGAAGCGCGAGGAACGTAATCTTAATGCCGTGGATCAATCACCAGCAAAAGATTCAGAATCCGTTGTTTGTGATCAAACCAAGGTGAAAACTTCCGTGGATCCTCCTCTTGACTTTTCTTTTAAAGATTCTGTTGCTGGTTTTGATTCCCTAGACTGGTTTTGGAGAACTCCGAGCTTTGAGCAACTTAGAGTGGAATTATCCGAGGAACCTCTTGATCTTTATTTGAAAGATTCGTTCAATTCCATCGCCTCTTTACGTCATGTTTATGTGGCTACTGAGCCAGAATGGGTTGTTTCTGAGCCATTTGTGCCTGTTTCTTGTGCCACCGTGAATTTCAATGAAACGGAGGTGAAGAAGAGAGATGATCAAAAAGATAGGGGTGAGAAGGCCAAAAATAAAACGCTTAATGATGAAATCTTGAGCATTTCTTCTTCAAGAAGAGCTGAAGAGAAGAAGAGTGATGATGAAGAGGACAAAGACGGCGACGATAAGAGAGTAGAAGATAGTTTGAGAACAAAAGAAGCCACCATGTCAAAGGCGTCAAAGGTCATTACTATTACCATCATCACCATTTACTCTACTTTCACAAGTTTTGTTAAACTATATATGAAAATCTGTTTTAATTTTGCAGGAGCTTCCTCTAGTTCCTTCTGTGAATCTTGTTTCTTCGGTATTATTAAAAGTCATTATAATTCTATCTGTGTACTAATTTTTGTTCTTCTGTGTTGATTTCTTAGAAATTTCTCTGGTTGAACCAGCAGGTGCTAGAAGAAGAAGTGCAGAAGAATATGGCAACAAAGAGAAGAAGTGAAGAAACAAAAACGTGTAGCACAAGTAACAAGAAGAATAAAAACGAAGTGGTGTCTCCTAGAAGATTAGGAGCAGAAACATGGCTGTCTCTTCCATACCCATATGATCATTATCCAATAAGATATCAGATTATTCAGAGTTCAAGTCAGATGCAAAATTCCAGGATTGGAACAGAGCCTTTAGTTACATTTCTAGGTCAAAACCGTTTAAACCAACCCATTGGAGGTATAGTTGGTCTCAGTGAGTTTCCTCAAGTTATTGAGGAGCATTGTTCTCCTCCCAATGTACCACCACTTCCCAACCTCAATCTCCAAACACACCCGCAGCCTCACCTTGGTGGTAGAGTTCGAAAGGAGCAGCCTTGATAGCTGACTGGTTCTTGATTTTGAAGTTTTGAAGGTAACTACTCTCGCAAAGGTTTTCGAAATGTTCTGATAGATTGTATATCCATTTTTAGTTAGAATTTAAACACAAGATTTCTTTTCTTTTTGACAATAACATAAGATTTCTCTCGCTAGTTTTTTGCTTAATCCACCATATACTACTGTAGCGGACAAATGATTCACCGTTATTGATTTTGCAATGCAAACAATATAACCTAAAGCTGTTTTGTTTCTCTCTGTTGCACCAACGACGTCGTTTTCTTGATCAGAAAGAGGCTTTATACTTAAGGTCAATAATGTTAATGGACCTTTTAATAAATGGGCCCATTTAAGCTGTAAATGAAGACAAAGAAAAAGTCCCACATCGTTCAATTAGAAAAAAGAAGCTGTGTTTATATATCGGTAGAGTCGTGTAAGTGATTGTCCCTTCGGGGACATCCGATAAAATTGGAACGATACAGAGAAGATTAGCATGGCCCCTGCGCAAGGATGACACGCATAAATCGAGAAATGGTCCAAATTTTTTTGGTAAAATTTTCCATTTCTTTTTTTTTTTTTTGCGTGTCTAATGGTTGTGGTAAGGTTTTAAACTATTATGCATTTAATTTTCGATTCCTTTATATACTTGCAGCATTGGTTGTTTTCTTAAAGGACTAAACAAGCTTTACTTTCTGTGTTGATGTGTACAGAAAAAGATCAAGACTTTGATTTTAGTGTTTAAAAAACAATTTTGGATATAGTATAATGTCTGACATTTTTTGCACCTGTCTTGATCAATTTTGATTCATTGATGGAAAATGATTTTAGGGAAAGACCGAAAGAGGAAAATGTATAGGAAGCTAATTACTTCGTAGAATCACATTTGAATATGTCTTTGAATTGCAGGGAATGAGGACATATGATGAAGCTTTGTACGGTTGTACCATCCAAGAAGTTATACCCAATGTTTTACTCTACGAGGATCAGAGTGTTCTTGTCGGTCGTTTGATTTTGCAGCAAAGACGAGGCTTTTTCCCTTCTGTTTCTAGTTGTTTGTGATTTGGCTCTTGAGGAGAAGAACGTCAATGTGCTTGCTTACAATTGGTGGGGAGTTTCAGTTTTTTAAGCGACCCGAACCAGACCAAATCTGGATTTACCCTCAAACAATTCGGTTAGGTTTCTTCTCAACCCAAACGGTTCTATTCAAAACCGAACTGAACCGAACCGATAATCTAGTTTGTTTTTCTCAATATATTTAATACATTGGATAATCCAATTAATTACTCTCTAAAACTGAACCGAACCGAACTAAAAAAGGGTTCCGGTTCGGTTATGGATACCACTAAATATCCGAATGGATCTCAGTCACACTATCCACTAGATATGGGTAATAACCGAACCGAACCGAATATCCATGGGTACCCGAATGGAACCGAAATATTTGGTCAACCCTCTACAAATCTACTCTAAGCCCAATATATTTTGTCCCAACTGATTTTTGTTAATTTTTTATATTTTAGCCCAATATATTTTGGTTTATTACAATTTTGTCAAAAAATTAAAGTTTAAAATATTGGGGTGTTTCGGTTCTTTTTTTGAGTATTTCGAGGGTTTTTTTTGCGTACTTTAGGTAAAATAACCGGAACCGAACCGAACTGAATCGATATCCATTGGACTTTGGTTATTTATCGGTTCTCTTTCTAAGTATCCGAACTAAACCGAACCGACAAGGAACCGAACCGAAAGAGTTTCGGTTCTCTTATGGATCCTAAGAAGTTAGAACCGAAGAACCGAAACCCGAAAGAACCGAACCGAATGAAACCGAAGAACCGAACGCCCAGGCCTACCTCAAACACACATCCTTTTCTACTCTTTTCACGTTAAACTGTCTCATACATTGATCATTTCTTTCAATCTGTTGTAACCAAACCTTCTTTTTATCCATTCTCTAATTTTTTTTTTTTTTACTATCCATTTGTCTTAATCTTGCTCAATCTCTTTTCTTAATTAAATTTCTGACTTGAGCATCAAAGAGCTTTCTAAAAATACCACCATCGTCATATTTTCTTTTTTGATAACTCAGATGATTCTAAAGATTTTCTAGGCCAAATACTGATCATGAAATCTGGAAAAACCATGTTAGAATTCGAACCCCGGTGGCCATTGCAACTCGAATCTAGGTGGCAGAGATTTTTCTCTCATTTACCATTGGACCAAGGCGACATGGTTTCACTATCATAATTTTGCAGGCTTAGAATTGTTTCCCACTTGTGCAAGAAACAAAGCAAAATCCCCTGATTTTCAAATTTTCTCGACCTATATTAGCAATGCAAAAAAAATATTTCTATAAGTAATGATTTTTAATATTAGTCAAAATCGGCCTAAACTAATATTTTGGAGAAACCGTATATTACTGTAACCGAATATTCAATTTTTTTTTTTTTAATTCACAAAAAATTGAGGTAATAAACAAATTGGAACCAGATCGGCTCTGATGTCCCTTCCTACGGTGGATCCGGTCATGGTTAAGGAGTTTGTTTGTTTTCCGGCCAATTCCATCGGTTTTCTGTTTCAGTTGGTGATGGGTTTCAGCGGCTCTCTAGGTTCTGTGATCTTCTCGCAAGTTATCACCCTCCTCACTTGCATCCAGATCTTTTTGTTCTGGCTCTCTTTCGATCGGGCTTTTCGGTTATTTCTCTTCCTCTGTTTGAATTAGTTATTCTTAGTGGATGGAGCTTATGGCTGGAGATTTTCTCACACATGTCTAGTTGTTTAGTTGCGTTTAAGTTTTAGATAGTGTGTGTCTTTTGTCGTATAGAATTTGGGCAGTCATAGGTTGTCCGACGGTTTTTTAAATGGATTTGGATGCTCTTTCAACCAATCAGAGATGGAGACTCATCATTTTTGGAGAAGGCCAATGGTTCTCTACGAGTTATCGTCATTTGTGTCGCCGTCCGTCTTCACAGTTTGTTGTGCGGGAATTCACCGTGATGAGCTGAAAAACTTGAAGCACTGTTGCGATGGTTCATCATTTGTCACTGTTAAAATATATCCTAGGTGTAGGATTGGAAATGTCATTAGTTTCTCTTATAGTTCTATGTTGGTTTCTCCTTTGATTGTAATTTGTAAGCATTCCATTCCAATATTCAATAGATGTATGTATATTAATATTAGGAAGCCCAAAAAATTCGAAGGAGTACCATATTTCCCATGCTAAAGTATATAGTAATATCTTTTAGGACGCAATACATGCTCTAATGTTTTGGAAATTGTTTTTGAGAAAAAATACGTGTTTTAATATTTTAAAATTAATCTTTATATATATATATATATTGCAGCCCACACTATAATATAAAGAAATAATCTATTCTCATAAAGAAGAATATCTTGAAAAAAAAAAAAATAGTATGAAGTTTCTTATTAGTTTTTTTTTACTCAACTATATAAAACAATATATCGAGATTTATACAAAGAAAATATAATCCAACCTTAAACTCATGGACATTTTTATGCCAAATTTTACTGGACATGATTGCATATATTCTAAATTATTAAAACAAAACTTATTTTATTATGAAAATATGACTAAAAAGAAAAAAAAAAAAGATGAAAGACACAACTTTATTCCACTAGAAAAAAAACACAATTATTCCATAATTATTTAAAAGAAAAAGAAAGAGCGACAATAGATAAGGGATTATATCTTTTTATTTTGAATAGTTCTGAGAAATTTAGGACGAGCTCATTCGTTTTTGTGTCGGGAAGAAAACTCCGCCCCGTCTTCTTCTTCTTAATACTTATTATTTTTACTCTTCGAGAGAGATAAGAGAGACAACGAAGCCTTCAGCACTACACGCTTCTTCTCTAAATCATTTTGGAGATTCTCGAGTTTTTTCTTAAAAACAACCAGGTCCTCTAACTTTAGATCTGAAATCTCCTTCCTATTGTAGTTTTTGAGGTTTTGTTCTTGCCCCTTCCTCAAAACCTGAAATGTACAAAACAAATCTAATGTTTGGTAGACATAAAAGACAACAAAAATAATATATAAAGGCATTAAATAATAATGTTTTATACAATAAATAAAACTTTAAAATGGATAGTGTGATATATTTGGGTTCAAGATCTACTCGGGGTTTGGTTAAACCAGTTGGTTCAATTGTCTTTTAAACTGGATTTTTTTAAGGTTGTAAACTTTCTCTATATAATAAAATGTTGTTTTAGCAAAAGTAAGTTATAAAGAATATTAAATTTGGGACTACATACCTTCTCATATGCTTTGCTTTGTTCCAATTCTGCTATGAGACAATCAAGTTTGGCTTGATTCTTGAGAATCCTAGTTTGCCTCGTCGAAGATCTTACTCTCCTAGCACTAGATTTTCGGAAATGCCTTACCACATCGTCGGAGCATGGACTAACAGCAGCGGAGAGGTTGATCAAGACACCAGCTTCGGTACTATATAGCCTAGAAAGTGTATCGGCATTCTTGAAATGCCTAACCATTTCTTTTCTTTTTTGAAGTAAAGAAAAAAGTTTTATGTCTAGAGAGAGAGATTTTTGTTGTTGTTGTTATTGTTGTTGTTGTTGTTGTTGTTAATACTTATTCCGTTTTATAGATGGATTGGGTTAAATTAGTTCAACGCATCATCAAAATGTCTATCTATGTTGGTATTTTCTTTCCATTAAAATATTTGAATTTATTTTTACATATATTTATTATTCAACTAATACCATAAATTTCTTTATTAAAAAGTCAGATTCGACATGTTTTATCAAAACTCTCAGACAAAAGATGATATTAGAACTAAATTCTTACAATATATTAGATAATTACTCGTCTGTGACGCAATCTATGATGTCAAAACTATGTTACATTTTGTAGTACTTATCTTGAATTAAATAAGATTAAGAAATAAATATGAATGGTGTGTTACTATGGCAAATATCTACTACCTCTAGATTTCATTCTATATACAAAAAAATTTATCTTAAAATGATAATTCACACACGTCAAATATGCGCACCAATCACGAGATAAATAAATATTTTTCAAATTAAATTAAAATAGAAAATCTAGTAAAGATTACTATATAACTTTTTTTGAAAAAGGAAAAACTAAGTTTTTGTTTATTCAAAATAAGATGTTACAAATTATATACAATTCCTTACTAAAGCCTGAAAAAAACATCAAACTTTTTTTACTAACGGACGTCATAGAACCTACTGATTGTCATTAACGTTTGTTTAACTAACCGGAAGAAAATACTTTAATCTTGAACTCTAAATTCGAATATAGAGAAAATATGACATTTTTAGGTGTTATTAGACATCCAAATTTGAAAAACGCATAAACTACCGTATATTATAAAAGTGGAATGCGCGTAACCTCTACATAATTGCCGCATTTTATAACATTGTTATCACTATTACGTAAATTGTAACGATATGACATATATCGGGAAGTAATATTATGTAGTTAAAATCAGTCACAAATCACAATAATTAGTAGTGATTAACTTCTTGTGCTTGTATAATCTAATTTATTCTCGCGAGCACCTTAATCCTTTTTTTCAGCTATGAGCATCTTAAGGGTCCGAATGGTAACAGCGTATTTGGTTTTGCGGGAAAAGCGGTTTTGTAGTACGGTACGGTTTAACTACGGTATTTGTGAGAGAAATATATTTGCGGGACAAGTGCGGTTTGTACAAAATAAGCGGTATGAAATAATGTTTGATTGGTGAAAATAACTAATTGCGGTTTTGTAGTGATGAAGAAATATTTCATATATTTATAAAGTTTATATACCCAAATTAATCTAAAATAAAAGATTATTTTTCTTACATAAATATTGCAAAATCATTTAAAAAATTAAATCATAAAAAAGTACAATACAATAAAAACTATTATTAATCTGAACCTAACTGTTTTGACACATCTTCGTTGTTCCGTAAAATACCAGTCATAGTTTCTAACAGTTGTAGCTTATCATCATCGTTGCTTTCAGCTATGTCAATGAAATACTTACGCTAAAGTACTTGCTCTTTGAGTGTACTGATGCATGTCCAATAAAATCTAGTATGTTTAGAAAGGTTTAGCGCAATGAATATCGCTTCCGCCTTTTTAAATTCATCATAATCATCTTGAACTTGTACAATTGTTTTCGTAGAAGGAGTTAAAATTTCGGTGAAATGAGCTGAAGGATTTGTGTCTCGTTGACGATTGGACGCCATATCTATATTTAATAAAATCCAACAATTATTCATAAACTAATATGATAAACTATATAGTATTTTATTTTTATTTTTAATAATAGAAATTTTAAAGCGTATTGAATTACTTACAAAAATATATTAATTATTATAAAACTAATCTGATTAGCTATTAACTATTTGTTTTTATTGAAATAGAATCTTTAAAGTATATATATATACATAATTACACATTTAAATTCAAAGCTTTTTGATGTAATAATAATATGTTAACTAAAAAAAAAAAATTACCTTCAAATGATAATTGCTACTTGAAGGAAAAAGAGAGAAACAACTTCTATTTTCTAAAGTGGCATCAAAGAGAAATTGTGTGTTGTGTTTGAAATTTTTTGGACCTAGTCTTTACTTTTATATACAGAATTATTATTTTAAAATTAATATCTATTACCCAGTAGATGCGGATTTATTGGACCGCTGGTTATTACCCATACTGTAAATTGGAGTGCGTTTTCTTATCTGATAGGTAATATTTGTACTGTCTTGAATAACGCAAACATATATTTTTTTTTTAACAGAAAAAACGCTTATTGAGTATAAAAGTTGTGATTGGTGTTTTGTTTGTGGTTTTGTAAATTTTTCTTGAAATCCGCATTTTGAGTAGTTACCAATCAAGACCTAAATCTATCACTTCAATGATAAGAATGATTCAAAGAGATAGAATAATTTATATGATTGTCCATGAGAAATAGTCAAAACTCAAAAGACTATGGCGCCAGATTTAGGCTCTGGCTTTTCAATAATTAAATTTATACAATCCTTTTCAGTTTTCAATAATTAAATTATTAGAAATACAATCCCATACTAAGTACAAAATGACAGTTTGGCCGAGTGGTCTAAGGCGCCAGATTTAGGCTCTGGTCCGAAAGGGCGTGGGTTCAAATCCCACAGCTGTCAATTTTTTTTTTTTAATCGTTATTTTAAAATCAATATAACACTTTTCAGATATTCTAAATATTTTGACCCAACCAAATGACATCATTATTTTTTTAATGGGTCAACTTCAAGTAAGCATGATATGGAAAATTTGTAAACATATATATACGGAAAAAATCAAAATATTAATGGGTCAAAATCAGGTAAACATAGAATAGAATCCAGAAACAGGTTGTCCAAATCAACTAAATCATATATGGACAGATTCCTCAATAGTCATTAGTCAATACATAATCCATAACTTAAACATCTATTTTTTTTTTTTTTTAAATCACCTATTTTTTCCATCCATTCGTCCAATCTCCAATGTGAAGCCATAAAAATTGGTTTCCACTACAATTACAAAAGCATCACAACTGCTTACAAATTATGGCTTAATAAATCATATATTTTTTCCATCGATTTATTTTAAATCGCCTATTTTTATCTCTATCTGAATAAAAATTGAAAATAATCTTATAAACTATTGACAAAAGAGTATTCTTTTGCCTTTTTGATTTTGGCTTGGGCAAAAAGACAAATAAAAATGTTTGGCAGATTGCTTATACAAAACACAGTTTGTTGATTAAAAAAAAAAAATCCCATCAAGACAGCTGATGCGCTTTTGATTCTTCTAGGCAGCACTTTGATAATTAACACGAAACTGAAAATATTTAGAACGAAAAAATATGATAGTTGATTTGTCACTAGTCAAATACTATGTTGAGTTACAATCATTTCAGTTTCAACGATTGCTACTCTTTGACCAATAACAAAAATTAAAGACTTTTCATTTGCCATACTCGAATTCCTATTCAAACACATATATATATATATATATATATATATATATATATAATTGAACTATAATTGCTTATCAAGTAGAATATATATATTATATAAGACATTATAATTCTTAATGGCTAGTTTAAACGACTAGAATATATATTTTTCACTCTAGTGATATATCTGAATTTGAATAAAACGTTGGAGGCAGAATAAAGTGATTTAGCATTGTAAAAATTACTTTGTATGTTATCAATCACTCACCTAAATAAATAAAAAAAAACTACATATAAGATATAGAAAATGATATGATTAACTTTTTTTTAACAATATGTAATATTCAGATTTGAATTTGGACGGCGAAAAAGAGCTAATAATACTAACACCAAACTAGTAAGTAGTCACTATATATTCTGGTCCCATGATATGGCTACATAGTACATACATTGTGAGATTAAATGAATATGATATATAATACAAGCATAGGTTTTATACAAGCATGTATATGACTATGAAGTGGGAATACATTCAGTGCCTTTATATGCAACTTGACCAAATTATCAATCATGTGAATTATGAAACTTATATTGCGTCTTGGCCTTTTCACATCCGTGACATTCTTGCACATATGATATACTTATAATATAAACATATGACCTCGTGTATGTATATATTTGTATTCACATAATTGAAATTTTCTCATAATATTTTCTCACCAATTTCAACTCATCTAAACCATGAAGTTACTCTCAGAGACCTTTCTGATATTAACTCTCACTTTCTTCTTCTTTGGCTTTGCACTAGCGAAACAGAGCTTTGAACCAGAGATTGAAGCTTTAAGATCCTTCAAGAGTGGCATTTCCAGCGACCCTTTAGGAGTATTGTCGGATTGGACCATCACCGGTTCGGTACGACACTGCAATTGGACCGGAATCACCTGCGATAGTACCGGCCACGTTGTCTCTGTTTCCTTGCTGGAGAAGCAACTTGAAGGTGTTCTGTCCCCAGCCATAGCAAATCTCACCTATCTCCAGGTTCTTGATCTCACTTCAAATAATTTTACCGGAGAAATACCGGCTGAAATCGGAAAGTTAACCGAGCTTAACGAGCTTAGTCTTTACTTAAACTATTTCTCTGGTTCGATTCCTTCTGAAATTTGGGAACTTAAGAATCTTATGTCTCTTGATCTGAGAAATAATTTGCTAACCGGTGATGTTCCTAAAGCAATTTGCAAAACCAGAACTTTGGTAGTAGTAGGAGTTGGAAACAACAACTTAACCGGTAATATACCAGATTGCTTAGGAGATTTGGTTCATCTAGAGGTGTTTGTAGCAGATATTAACCGGCTTAGTGGTTCGATTCCGGTAACAGTTGGTACTTTGGTTAATCTGACGAATTTAGACCTGAGTGGTAACCAGTTAACCGGTAGAATACCAAGAGAGATAGGAAATCTCTTGAACATACAGGCTCTCGTTCTATTTGATAACTTGTTGGAAGGAGAAATACCGGCCGAGATCGGAAACTGCACGACCTTGATAGACCTTGAGCTGTACGGTAACCAGTTAACCGGGCGAATACCAGCTGAACTAGGGAATTTGGTTCAGCTGGAAGCCCTCCGGTTATACGGGAACAACCTCAATTCCTCACTTCCATCCTCATTGTTTCGGTTAACGCGTTTAAGATATCTGGGATTATCAGAAAACCAGTTGGTTGGACCAATTCCCGAAGAAATCGGTTCTCTCAAGTCACTTCAAGTCCTAACGCTCCATTCCAACAACTTAACTGGAGAGTTTCCACAGTCCATCACAAACTTGAGGAACTTGACAGTGATGACGATGGGGTTCAATTATATTTCCGGTGAGCTCCCAGCGGATCTAGGGCTTCTTACAAACCTTAGAAACCTTTCAGCGCACGACAATCATCTTACCGGACCAATACCTTCTAGCATAAGTAACTGCACCGGTCTTAAACTCCTGGACCTGTCTTTTAACAAGATGACTGGCAAGATTCCGTGGGGTTTAGGAAGCCTGAATCTTACGGCTCTTTCTCTTGGGCCGAATCGGTTTACCGGCGAAATTCCAGATGATATCTTCAACTGTTCAAACATGGAAACCCTTAATCTGGCCGGGAACAACTTAACAGGAACGCTCAAGCCATTAATTGGAAAGCTTAAGAAACTCAGGATTTTTCAAGTGTCGTCTAACTCTCTCACAGGAAAGATTCCGGGAGAGATCGGGAATCTGAGAGAGTTGATACTCTTGTATCTTCATTCTAATCGTTTCACAGGGATAATCCCGAGGGAGATATCAAATCTCACTCTCCTCCAGGGGCTTGGGCTGCATAGAAATGATCTTGAAGGTCCAATTCCTGAAGAAATGTTTGACATGATGCAACTTTCAGAGCTTGAGCTATCCAGCAACAAATTCTCAGGTCCAATACCTGCCTTGTTCTCGAAGCTACAATCGCTTACCTACTTAGGTCTACACGGAAACAAGTTCAACGGGTCTATCCCTGCAAGCCTTAAGTCACTTTCGCTTCTCAACACGTTCGATATCTCCGGCAATCTTCTCACCGGAACCATCCCTGAGGAGCTGTTATCTTCGATGAAAAACATGCAGCTTTACCTCAACTTCTCAAACAACTTTTTGACTGGAACCATCTCCAACGAGCTTGGCAAACTTGAAATGGTTCAAGAAATCGACTTTTCGAACAATCTCTTTTCCGGGTCTATTCCAATATCGTTAAAGGCCTGCAAAAATGTGTTCACACTGGATTTTTCGCGGAACAATCTCTCGGGTCAGATCCCAGATGATGTTTTCCACCAAGGAGGCATGGATATGATCATAAGCTTGAACCTTTCAAGAAACAGTCTCTCTGGTGGAATCCCTGAGGGCTTCGGGAACTTGACGCATTTGGTCTACTTGGATCTTTCTAGTAACAATCTCACAGGTGAAATTCCAGAGAGTCTCGCCAATCTTTCCACTCTGAAACATCTCAGACTAGCTTCAAACCACCTCAAAGGCCATGTTCCTGAATCCGGTGTGTTCAAAAACATCAACGCGTCTGATCTGGTGGGAAACACAGATCTCTGTGGTAGCAAGAAGCCTCTCAAGCCATGTATGATCAAGAAGAAGTCGAGCCACTTCTCGAAGAGAACCAGAATCATCGTGATTGTTCTTGGATCAGCCGCGGCTCTTCTTCTTGTCCTGCTTCTTGTTCTGTTTCTCACCTGTTACAAGAAAAAGGAAAAAAAGATAGAAAACTCATCAGAGTCTTCATTACCAAATTTGGATTCAGCCCTGAAGCTGAAAAGATTCGATCCAAAAGAGTTGGAACAAGCAACAGATTCTTTCAACAGTGCTAACATCATTGGTTCAAGCAGCTTAAGCACAGTGTACAAAGGTCAGCTAGAAGATGGGACAGTGATCGCAGTAAAAGTATTGAATCTGAAGCAATTCTCTGCAGAATCAGATAAATGGTTCTACACAGAAGCCAAAACATTGAGCCAACTAAAACATCGAAACCTGGTGAAGATCTTAGGGTTTGCTTGGGAAAGCGGCAAAATGAAAGCTTTAGTGCTTCCATTTATGGAAAACGGAAGCTTGGAGGACACGATTCACGGCTCTGCTACACCGATCGGGTCGTTATCAGAGAGAATAGATCTTTGTGTTCAAATCGCATGCGGAATCGATTATCTTCATTCTGGATTTGGTTTCCCAATTGTTCATTGTGATCTGAAGCCAGCAAATATACTCCTCGACAGTGATCGTGTTGCTCACGTAAGCGATTTCGGAACTGCTCGAATTCTAGGTTTCCGTGAAGATGGAAGCACCACAGCTTCTACTGCAGCTTTCGAGGGCACAATTGGATACTTAGCTCCAGGTAAAATATTCAAAACCCTAGTTTTCACATCTAATTTCACACTCAATTTTTAAAGCCCTAATTTTACCATCGACTTACTTGAAATACACTCTTATTTTTCATGAACAGAGTTTGCTTATATGAGCAAAGTGACAACAAAAGCCGATGTATTCAGCTTCGGGATCATAATGATGGAGCTAATGACGAGACAGAGACCAACTTCGTTGAATGATGAAAAGTCACAAGGCATGACTTTGCGTCAATTGGTGGAGAAATCAATTGGAGATGGAACAGAAGGGATGATTAGGGTTCTTGATTCGGAACTCGGGGACGCTATTGTTACTCGCAAACAGGAAGAGGCCATTGAAGATTTGTTGAAGCTTTGTTTGTTCTGTACAAGCTCTAGACCTGAAGATCGACCTGATATGAACGAGATTCTTACACATCTGATGAAACTTAGAGGCAAAGTGAATTCATTTCAAGAAGATCGTAACGAGGATCGAGAAGTTTAGCAGCAAAGCTTTCTTCTTTGAAGACAATTTTTCGAATTTGCCAGACTCTGTTACGATGGTTGAATACTTTGGACGTAAAACGTTTTGATTTTGCTTTTTTTGGTGATTGTTTTCATATATATATGCATTTTGCTTTGGACGTAATCTGGATGGTAGATTAGGTATTCCAATAAGTAATGCTGATAAGTAAATGAAATGAGTACCAAGTACATTGTTTTCTCCTTTTTTTCTTTGCAATTTTATATAACTCTTAAACATCACTATACATTTTTTGACGAATCATATGGACTGTTTGCTTAATGCTTACAAAACAATATCTAAAGAAACTATATAAAACAAAATTTGAAAATTTAAATCGAAAACAATTACTTCGATTTCGTATGGCAATAGAGCAAAGTAGTTGAGCGATGTTGGTTTCTGCGGTTCTTGGTCCTGCCTTTGTTGAACGTCCTCTAAAGCTGAATGTGCACAAGAAAATGATCCACACACTAAACACAAAGAACAACACTTCTTTTTGCCTGTAAATGATAGAAATCAACAGAGTTCTAATTAGAATTTTGATGAGTGGATGACCAATGAGAATGATTTGGGGACTCACGGGTTTCTAACGATGAATCTGAAGAAGAACGAATGAGAAGCAATATAGAGGAAGAGCGATGGCAATCCCAGCTATGAAGTTAGAAAAGAGACGCTTGCTGTCTTTTGTGGGTACGAAAACCGTCTTGAGTGTGTTGGTTAGTTCAAAGAGACGGTGAGATACCTGGAGAACAAGAACATCTAGATGGTTCAGAAAACTTGGTAAAAGACGGGGAGAGAAGAAGTTACGGTTTCTTACTAGGACGTATATCGCAGTTGTGAGCATGAAATTAAGCATAGGGTATCCCGGAATAATAGAGAGAAGCCATTTTGGTTGCCCATCAGGCATGTTTGATCTGAAAATGGTGTTTAGTCAACAAGAGATGCATAAAGTTTCCGAGAAAACAATATTTAAGTTTCCAAAAACAAACCTTAGCCATATATGAAACTGTGAAATGTAAGTCTCTAAAGTGATCTTGCCAAGCCACCTGCGCAGAGCAACGTAAAGAGTATAAAATGAAAATGAAGCAAAGCATACCAAACTGGGCTTAAATGTAAGCACGAGTTGACTCACGCAAAGAGAGTCAACGAGACACTCCGAAGCTGGTGGGTGAAATTTCGAAGGCATATGTAAACACTGGAACCCAGAAACCAAAAGGTGTGTCATGTTTCAGATTCAGTAAGTGAAATAAGGGACAGATATATAGACGAAAGAGAGAATTTATGCACACACGTGATGGGGATCCAAGATGTGTATGGATGATACATGTTGTAACTGTTCTTGTCCAGCTTGTAGATACATTCATACCACACGTAGCCAACCTAAAATGTGACCAAACAGGAAAATTATATCAATCTGTATAAACGAATGGTGCAGTCAATAAGCTAAAAGATGACTAAGTGACTTACAAGCACAGTAATAGTAACAATAGCGGTCTTTATGGATAGTCTTTTCTTCGTTTCACAGTCCTCTAACTTCTCTATCCATCTCTCTACCTATAGAATGACCCCAAGTTTTGAAGTTTATTACATTGACACTACCAAAAACAGAAAAAAATTGAAAGTTTGTTTCTGTTGAAGAACTTACAGTTGGGTGATAATAGGCATAAATCATTCCGATGATCCATATGTAGCGATCAAGGCCTGATCTGAAGTGCCATTCATGCAGTCGATGAAGATCAGGCTTCGCAGGGTCACTGTAACCTGCAGTTATTCACAAGAAATATCCAAATATTTAGAAACCGATTCAAATTCCATTATGACTTGTTTCATTTCAGATTAGAGAATATGATCAGATCCAGAGAAGTTAACTACCTAACAAGAACGTTAATGGACCCCAGAATATTTCAAAAGCTCCAGGAACTTCCCACAACAAAAAGACAACGAGGAAGCATGAAAATATTTTCAGAGCCATCACAGATCCTATATCATTGTACTTGCTGAAGATACCCAGAGCTCCGTAAACCATTAGGGTGAAGAGAGTGTGCATTGGGCAGATGTAATACAACATATAGTCATTGTTGAGAACAATACAGCAAAATGCTACAAAGAAGTTAAGCCTCCACATCATCTGTAAGAGAACAAGATTTTAAATGCAGAAGATAATGGGCAATGAAGATTATGGAGTTAGTGGTATCACCTGTGCAAAACGTGCAACAGAGAAATCCTTTCTGACGTAGTAATACGAAAAGTTTCCAAAACCAGTCATCCAGACATAAGCAGCAATAAAGATACGGATAGCGTTGTATATCTCAGCCGCAGCAAAGTAGTGATACATCAAGAACAAAACCTGTTAAATAGTAAGACATGAGAAACAATATGTGGAAAGCGGCAATAAGAGATACAACACAGTAACCGGAGGCAATGATCATATTGCCAATAATCAAGAGAAACTTGCCTGCATCCATCCTTTCCACTCTTCAGTCTGGTGGCGATTAAGGTAAAGAATGGATTTCCCAGTGATGGGTGACTTGTCATTGTGTTTTCTGAGAGATGTCATGGCTGATACTATGATGAGAAGAACGTAGAGAAAAAGGAAAAGGTCGCGATTGTAATGCTGTCAAAGGAAACCAAGTCCTATGAGCAAAAACGTACAAATTATAGAAGTAGATATACTTACATGGATTTAAGACACAAAGCGGGTGAAATACATGCGTACCTTGGTAGAATCTCCAAGCAATTCCGTGCGGTCACAGATATAGAAATATATTAAGATTGCCCCAAACTCCGACCTAGGTATGATTACGAATGTTACCATAAGACGACGAACAAAGAGATTATCACTTCTTGAGGTAGCTTTCACTTACATTGCTCTCAATGTTGCACGGTGTTCCAGCAAAAACGAATCTTCCATACTCAAAAACCTGTGATTCGATAAATCAAAAACACCTTAGCATGAGAACTCTTGAAGAATTGTAAAACACAAACTAGAAAACTTACGAGCTGGCAACACCAACCTGACTATGTTTGTTCTGATGGATGAATTATGAAACCTTACAGATGTCGCACGGGTAAGACCTCCCTCCAACAAATCAGCTTTGTCATCGTCCTTCTCTGCTACATCCCCCAGTTCAACCAGATTATTATCCGAGTGACTGCAATAGCAGAATGCAACTCTTTTCAGGGCAAAGTCAAAAGAGAGGAAGCACAATAGAGGTTACTTCCTGACTAAAAAACTCTGCTACGTTATTGAGAGTAGCACATTGCAAAAACTTACGGTTTCAAGGGAACCAAAGATTTCCTGTATTCAAGTGACTCCGAGTATATCCAACCAACAAATATTGGTATTACTCCAAATAGAAAAGATACCTACAAAGTTTCACTACAAAAGTTAAATCTTGTAGATGGAGATCAGTATTCAGCCAACTCTAAAATGACTCATGGCTACTAGAAAAACTACAAAGTCACTCTCTTAGGTTTCATCCTCTACTAAAAATGGCGGCTTTCACGAAAACACAGTCATAATTCCTTCCAGTTAAAGTCTCAACCTTTTTGAATAAATCAACCTAAATCGACTCAGCATTGAATCGTATGAAGTACTCTGGAGAAATTGTACCTGGCCCGGTGTAATAGGTCCCGGATCCACCATTTTAACGATCTCTATTCAAGCATTCGAACTGCAGATACACCAAAGACGAACAAATTTATGTAAATGAATACAAAATCGACAATAAGAAACCATTCAGAAGCAAAATCTTAAAGATTTGAAATTACCAGAGATAAATTCGACGAATAAAGAAGAATGATCTGGTTATCGAGAGATAGTGATCTCTAGCAGACAATAATCATAAATACGAGAGAGAAAGAAAGAGAGATGTGAAAGTGTTTGTTTGCTTGAAGAAGAAAGAAAGACGTTCGGCGAGTTGTCGTTTTCAGTCGCCGGCGACTGATTTTTCCGAGCAGATTAGGGACAGTGACTCCGACAATAATTTTCATGTCCACTCAAATAGTAAAGTTTCATTATAAAATTAAAGCAGATTTTTATATTTCTATATCTATATATATATTTTTAGAGACATTTATAAAATAAATCATGAAATTCTAATTATTTATGATATTTATTTAAATTTTCAAAATTAAATCAAAGATATTAACATAAAATATTATTTCCAAAAATCTTAACCTATGTATATTAAGCGTAACTATTCTTTGTCATAATTACATTCATATTCAATTCGATTTCCTTAAAAGATCTCAATAATCCCTACATTTAATCATAGCCATTTAAATCTTAATCCGGTTTTTAATCTTCAATCTTGACCGTCGGTTATACACAATTAATTCAGAAATCATTATATAGAATTGATTATTATTAAATAAAATTTAAAATATATATATATAATCAACTTTTAAATTGACTCAAACTATATGTCTATTAAATAAAATATTATTAAAACTAACAATATGATGTTTAATTTCACGGGACGGGGTTATATAGTGGGACGAGTTTGGATCGATAATAATCCGGGACGGTATTAATATCACAGACCTTGTTTGAAAAATCGCTAGGCGCTAGTCGGGCGTTCGGCATGGGCCTAGCGATTAATCGGAAAATCGGATTAAAATCGGGGATTAATCGGGGATTAGTTTTAGGGTTATTTTAATATTTTTAAAATATATTAATTCAATATTGTTTTCAAAATTACAATAAAAACAAATTTTTATGATTTTTATTAAAATTTGAACACAAGTTATGTAAAACATCACAAACTCCCAATTCAAATGATTGAATAACAAAAAAAAAAATGTTTTTTTTTATACTTGTAATCTAAAAAATAATCGGGGTATGTAAGATTAGGCGGGAAATAATCGGATTAGGCGGGAAATAATCGGATTAGACGGAGAATAATCGGGTTACTGATTTTTTAGGGGATTAGTCATTAATCGAGGCGGAGAGGGTGGGCCTAGCGATTAAGCAGGGAGTAATCGGGGCTAGGCGGGGATTTTTAGAACAGGGATCACAGATGAAATCTTAAAATTAACAATCAAAATACAATGATACAATCTTAAATACTTAATAAAATAAACAATATCAAAAAGTACAATTTAAAATTTAATTTTTTAGTTAAAAATTCACCGCGGGATAAAATCTAGTTTTTAATTAAATTTCAAAACTTTTTTTTTAATATAATCTAG